CGAAATGACGATGAGGACAGTCTCTTTGAAGCTGCCCAGGAAGCAGTGAAATCGCTGCCATCGCTGGACGACACAAGCAAACTGAAGCTCTACGCACATTACAAGCAAGCCACCGTGGGACCTGCGCAGGGTTCCAGGCCCAGCATACTCAACCAGGTGGCAAGGGCGAAGTGGNNAGTGGGACGCTTGGTCTCAGCTGGGCAGCATGAGTGCCACGGAAGCGAAACGTGGTTACTGCTTCCTGGCGGACGAGTTCGTACCCAACTGGAGAATGCAATCTGCAACCGTGCCAGGCCCTGCTTCAGCTGTGGATGCTATGTCTGCTGTTGCGACGGAGCCGTTGCTCCAAGCTTCTGACGACAGGCAGGGAAGTTGCGAATCAATGTAAGCCTGGTATCAAGCTTTTAGGGGTCACCTGGGTTGTACAGTTTTGAGCAGAGTTGCAAGATCTTTCAGTGCTGCGGAACTTCTGCTGACGACAGATGGCCAGTAGGGTTTTCCGGGTTGGCAGGGCAAGCGGCTTTGGAGGCTCTGGTCAGAAGTGCAGCTTTCGGTTGAGTCATGTCCAAGAGCATTTTTGTTGTCCCTTCTTGCCTTCTCTTGTCAGGCCTTGGCTGGCAGCGCTCCAAGACAGGCCGGTCTGAGTAGTGGTCTGAGTGGGGAGGATGTTTAGGGCTTGGGCGCTTGGGGAGGGTTTATAGGTTTTTGTAGGGTTTGTAGATTGTAGAGGTTATAGGGCTATATAGGGCTTAAAGGGTTTATAGGGCCATTCTAGGGTTTAGGGGCGCTAGCATAGCGTACCTCACTGTACTTGGACAGAAAGTCGTTCAGATCGCGAAGGATTTCGTAGCCAACGCAGAATTGCCGGGATGCCAAAGCAAGAGGTTTGGAAGAATCGAAGCACGACACTGCTTGTGGAATCGGAAACGAGACAGGGCTAACTACGCTGGCTCAACAGCACAGAAACCCAATTGAAGCATGCGTAGGTAAGTGGTAAACTGATGGCGTCATCCATACGGGCGGTTTCAGTAGTGTTTTAGTCTCCGAGGTTCCAGTGACTTGCTTCGTGGTCTTGCTACACTACATGGTGCTTTCGTGAGAAGCAACAAAGGTCAACTGCTTGAATCCGACAGCTCGGCTGGAGTAGCACAGAATCCCACTTGCAACAGTATCGCAGGTCGTCGGAAACACATTTGCAGATGCTGGGCCCGAGGCTACAAGGATAATCGGGAGCAGATGATGTCCGGTCCGTCGTGGATTCGGTCCGATGTAGACATGCGCCAGCCATCACGGTCATCATCATCGTCGTCATCGTCATCATCGTCATCGTCATCGTCATCGTCATCGTCATCATTGTCATCGTCATCATCAGCATCCTCATCCTCATCCTCAGCATCAGCATCATCTCTTTACCATTGCCATCTTCTTCCTTGATCATCGTCACCACCATCGGGGCTTCCAAAGTCATCACGATCGTCAGAGCACCAGAATCCCACATGTTGAAGCCCTCGGCTCTACAAAGGTTTTCATCGACAGTTCACGCAGAGAAAACACTGGAAGCACGGATATAATCGGCATGCGCGTTATGGGTGTTTACCCGGCGTCCGAGCCTAATGCTGCAGTTGAAGAAACCACCGCTTTTGAAAGCGAATGTTCAAAGGAGAAAGCTTGAGGCATGCGAAGTCACCATCATTCGGAACCAGGCGGTTTGTTTACCATAGCCATAACCATAGCCGTTGGGGTTGAGCCCTGCCCATCGCCACTATGTTGAGCTGCAACGTAAGAGTCTTCATTAGGACGACGCAGAGGTCCTGCTGATGAATCTCGCTCACGATTGTTAATCTCCCTCTTCGGGCTCCTGGAAGATGGTTTCTGTTTGTGTTTCCAGCCGGCATTTCGTGCCTTCATTGCCGGCCTGTGTCAAGCCTGCCCTTCGCATTCTTTTTCTGGACAGCACCGAAGGCAGTGGATAGCGCACTTTGCACCACAAGATGTTTTGTAGCATCATCATTCAGCCATTGTTCTCAGCATGGCATCCTGGTTTGTTCTGTGGCTGTGCTGGGCTTCGGCGGCGGGCGGTGAAGAGCTCGAGAAGTTCTGCGATACAGAGGTGTATCCTCCCTGTGACGTCGGCTTCCCCGTAGGCCGAGACTCTCCGGGTCTTTGGACCACCAACGCCTCGGGCCTTGCGATCAAAGCAGCTCGCCGCCCCAGCCGTCGATTCGCTGCGAGCGACGACGCGACGAAGGAGCTCGGATCTCCTTTGACGCGTCGCGTGCATAAAGAGTTCAGCCTCCCGGAAGCACTGCATGTCAAGGAGAAGACTGTGATCGCCTTACATGCCGGGCATGATGGCTCCATCGCCATTGGTAAGGGTGGCCGAATCCAGTGTGTTTTGGAATTAGAAAGACTGTTTGAGGACAGATATTTCATTCCCAAACTTGATCATTTCCATTTCCACTGGCACAGGGCCCTTGAGACAGTATCTGAGAGTTGCGAATGCGAGGACGGGTCATGCCCAACGAATTTCGATTTCGGCATCATGGTGAATTTCGGGGGAGATGTGTCGGTGCAGCACGCAGATCTGCCAAATATTGTAGAACGATTTTTTCGTGTTCGCGAGTGGCGGAATGTGAACCACCATGAGGCGCATGCATTGATGGCATTCTTCTCCTCGCCGTTTCGCTCTGCCTTCGTTCTGTCGTACGATGGCGGTGGCAACGATGGTGTTTTCAATGCGTTTCTGGGCAGAGGCTTTGAGTTGCATCGCATCGGTCGGAAACCACTCAACTTGGGCGCAGGATATTACAAGCTCGCTAGCTTCTTGCACGAGGTCAACGGATATCCTGAAACAAGAAATCTGGTGTGTGAGAGGCTCGAGGAGGAGGACGGCGATTGGGTTGAGCTGGCGATGTTGTTTCCAATCCATGTTTTCGTCGCTTTTGCAGGCAAGTTGATGGGATACTCCGGCCTGGCGAACCCTTCACCGGAAATTGGACCCTGGATTCGCGAGTACTTCCATCGATGGGCAATAGGGGAAGACAGAGTGCCACGAGCCTTTCTGGTCAAGGTGTGTGAAGGCACGGAGAGTCAGCGCATCCTTGCGGCCACGATTCAGGCTGAGTTTGAGCGCGTGATGCACCCCATCATCCAAGAATACCTGCAAACTCTGCAGATGAAAGGCATTACTGTTGAAGGGATCGTGCTTACAGGAGGATGTGCGCTCAACGTGGTTGCAAATCAACTAGTACGCGACACGCTGACAGAAGTCAAGGCATCGCAACCGGTCTTAACGAGACCCAGGGATGTTTACGTGCCTCCGGCTCCGAACGACTCCGGATTGACCGTGGGAGCCATCTGGGCTGTTTCGCCACCAGTAGGCCCCCGTCAACCGCTGCAATATCTCGGCTTCCAGCTCTGGGATTTGGAGGAACTGGGAAAGGAAGCGGAGCAGCGAGGGGCTCAGAGGTTGTCCGATTTGGGTGGCGTCCACTACCTCGCCGAGCTTTTGGCCGGCGGCCCGGCCTGGAAGGCTCAGAAGAGGCCAGGGCACGATGGGAAGCCGATCATTGCGGTGGTGCGTGGGAGACAGGAGTTCGGGCCCCGCGCTTTGGGACATCGATCTTTATTGGCGGTACCAGACTCCGAGGACATGCGCGATCGTATGAATCGTTTGAAAGCCCGGCAGTGGTATCGGCCAGTAGCCCCGATGATTGCAGAAGAGGCTTTAGAAGAAGTTTTTGGTTTCAAGTACACTTCAACCTACATGGAGTTTGCTCCAGCGGTGCGCAGTGAGATCCGGAAGCGCTTCCCAGCAATTGCTCACGTTGATGGCACAGCCCGTCATCAGTCTGTCAGCCGTGCAGACGAGCCATGGGTACATGCTCTTCTGCTGGCCGTTGCTAAGTTCACCGGTCTCGCCGCTCTTATAAACACAAGCTTCAACTCCAAAGGCAAGCCTATCGTCAATACCGTTGAGGCATCACTGAACATGTTGGATGAGTTGCAAGATCTCGATTATGTTCTGATCGAGGACTGGCTGTTCCGGGCACCAGCTGTCAAGCGAGAAGAAGAGGTTCCAAAGAGGAAGCCCTTTTCTGTTCTTGCTCTCGGAGATGTGACAAAAGACAGAATTGACATGTTCATTCGGGATTCCCGGCTGCAGCTGCCATCACGGGTCCTTTACCTTTCTGGGGGCAGGTGTTCCTCGCCTGTGCCGCACCACGCAATACCGAGACTTGTAGATTATAGATAGTGTTTGTTTTTCAATTGGGATGTTGCGAGGCTGCTGGACCTGCCGGAATTCAAAACACAACCGGGCAGGCCCGCTCTTGCTGTGAGACAGAAAGTGTAGCAGATCTAGCAATCCGAGAGGTTTTCGCTCATGTCAGTGCGCACATTCTGGCAGGATGTGGACTGCAACAGAAATTTGGTCCCTTATCACAGCCAGCGGGGATGCCTTTGATATCGTTTCTCCGGCGGCTTCAGGCCCGGCACGGCACACAGAGGTCCGTCCGCTGTGGCCTGATGACGCGAGCGCCAAACAGCCGGACAATTGGAGCTTCGTGGAAACAAGGTGGCGAAATTTGAGGCAAACTTCAGATTTAAGGAGATCTCATGTTGTGAGTCAGGGAAAATGCTATGTAATGGAGGTACCACGTCCGCATTGCGAGGTGCTTCGAAGGTCCTTCTGGGCACCGGAAGCTCTGGTCATTTCTGGAACGTGAGCTCCGTGTCGCTCTGGCCCAGCGTACAGAGATGGATACCAAGGATGCTCTCGACCTTCCCCCGCCTCCTCCCAGATTGCTGGATTCGCTGAGAACCGCTGTCGACGCCGAGATGGTCTCCCTGTCAAGTCAAGCACGTATTCGGGCTGGAACTGGTCAGAGCCTTGCAGACATGTGGAGCCTGCATACTGGCACTGGACTGCCACGGATGCCAGATGCCGTCGTCCATCCTCGCAGTGAGGACGACGTATGCGCTTTGCTGAAGGCTGCTCATGGTGACAATGGCTTCTTGGTCATACCTGTGGCCGGGGGTACGAATGTAACATCGTCGACATCCTGCCCTTCTAGGGAGGAGGAGTCTCGACCGGTGGTGGCGGTGGATATGCTTGAAATGAAGCGCATGGTGTGGGTGAAGCCGGAGGATGGACTGGCATGCTTCGAGGCCGGCATTACCGGCCAAGCTTTGAAAGATGAATTGTTGCGACGCTGGGCCCGTGCCAAATTGCTGCTAGAATTATCCAATCGTGTCAAGATTTTTTCCATGACCACATCTTTTGGCCAAGCTGAGGAGAAGGCCTGACCATGGGCCTGGAACCTGAGTGCTGGGAGCGCTCAACACTGGGTGGCTGGGTGGCGAGTCGCGCCACGGGTCTCAAACAGGCCCGGTACGGAGCCCCGGCCGCAATTGATGTTCGGCCTCGGGCGCAGCCTGCGATGTCTACGGACCTTCCAGCAGTTTTTGGCTCGCTCTAGCTGCTTCACCGAGTATCGGCAGGGCAGCGCAGAGTGACGTGGCAGGTGACATCGAGGAGGTGCTGGTAGAGGTGCGATTGATCTCTTGTTATCCCAATGCGCAGAATCGGAAGGGGAATCGCACGACATGATGTTTTTGCAGACCAGGTTCCAGGTCTGTGTGGCACCAGGCACAAATATGCTTCCTCTGATATCCTGTGCAGATTCGCGTCGCAACATCATCTGGGTTGCTTTGGCAGCATGGTGGCCACTTGAAGTTCTCCAGCTGCATTTACCCGCAGAGCAATAGCAAGCTTCACAGATTCGCAGCGCTTGAATAGTCCCTTCTGCTAGTGACATCTAGCGACGAAAGATGGAAAAGATGGAGCCAGGTACCAGCAGTCCGATCCCGCATGCCCGGCAAAAGGAGGAGCCTCTCCTACGATTTGCAGTGTTCGCAGTCGGTCCTCGTGTCAAACGCACCAGACATTGGCAACGACGAGCCTGCACTAGATGTGCGAGATTGCATCCTGCAGCTCGGAGACTGACAGGACCTATCTCCAGCTGCGGTCGGAAATCCACCGGTGTGGAACTCCCAGGCAAAGAGCAGATCCAGCTGCCTTTGTAAATTCGTGGCCCGTGCGGGCAGCAGTCATGGGCTGCGAGGGCTGCTGCTGGGAAGTCAAGGATGTCTTGGAGTGATCACCGTGTCTCTGACGCACGAAGGCAAGTTGTGTTCGCACCAAGTGGAACTGGCCAAACCGTCAAGCCCGAGCAAGGCTGCTGTCATTCGGGTGCATGCTGTGCCAGAGCTGACACAGGGCGGAAGCCTTGCTTTCCCGAGCTGGGAGCAGGGAGTGCCTCGCCTCTTGCACAGCAGCCGACGAGGCGATGGGATCACCTTGCAGCTGCTCAGCTGAGGCACGTTTTGCTCGAGATGTTGCTCGCCTGCCCAAGGCCCTTAGGCCTGCATCGTGCTGCTACTCGGCAACGACTTTTCTCTTGTCAGTCTGAACACATGCCTTCTGTTTCTGGATTCCCCCGCCTGAGGGCTCGTCGATGCCAAGCAATTGGAAATGGCAGAGGCGCTGCACCATGTAGCCACTCAGACCACAGACGGAGGGGGTATTTTCGCGCAGACGGGGGGGATGTCGGCAAAGGAACTGACGCAAGATACGCAAGGCCTGGGCAGTCCCAGGAAGTAGGTTTCTAGAGTCTAGCGGCCAGCAGTCCGGTCCTGGATACTTCGTGGCAGATTGGGCATATTGAGGACTCCGTGGGCCGACACTCCATGCAGCCCTTGCCGCCCTGCCCTCGAAGGGCTTCGAGTGGCAAAGGTGCACTGAAACGCTCGCTTCGACCAGGAGCCACCAGGTCGCCGCTGAGATCCTCCTCGAAGGCTCTCGCGAAGAAGTGGATACTTGGATTTATGCCTCGGTAATTAAGTCGATTGAAGCATCGCGGCCACAGGGGATAATGCGTATTAGCCTTGCACGCGAACATGCAAGGATGCTCAGAAGTGCATGCTGCAGCGCGGTTGCACTATTCACATCTTGGTCTCACCTGCATGTCCTAGCTTGAAGAAGGCACGATCACCGTCGCGCAGTAAACAGGGCATTATCGCTGTTTGACATCCCAGGCATCAGCTTGCAGCGACCCATGTTGGCACGTGGGGTGCCGCAGGACCGGTAGAAGCAGGCATAGAAGTCCGGCTCACGCTGCGCATGTCGGATCAGCAGGCAAGCTCCTGCACCAGCTGTCGTTGACCCTGCCGCACGTTCGTCAACTTGGTCATCCGTCTTAGACGTTCAGAATCACGATGCGCATACTTTCCACACGCACGTGTCGACGTGTCAGCAGCTTTCGTGAGACCCCAGGCATTGGCTACGACGTCTTCATGGACAGCATTGAGATCCTGATTCCGTGGGCATCCCTGGAAGCCACCATTTCAGCTGTGTCGGAGGCAGGGTTGAGCAGGGCTTGAGATGACTCCCACCACCTCCCACCTCAAGAGGCACATGAGTCTGCTGTGGTTGCGTGTGTTGTGGCGCAATCCACCTTTGAAGGTTGCAAGCTCTGGGCACCGTGACCTCGATTTTCCAGGAACTCCGTATATCTCTTTCGGCCTGGACCTGAATTTGATGCGACTCCCAAGAAGCCGGGGCCGTGAATCGCCTCAAGGCCTGGGGCAGCTCCTTGCCGAAAGGGCAGTCCTGACTGTTCATCTTGCCACTTCTGTGGCAGGCGCGTCCTGTGAAAAATGGTCTTCCTAGTTGGCATATCACTACGTCAGCAAAATGCTGACCTACAATGTGGATCTTGATGTTTTTTGGCAAGGCCTTGACCCCAGCAGCGCTCTTCCAGCCTTCAGCCGCTGGAGACATTCGGTGGAAGCTGCCGTGCCTTGGCCAGAGGCATGCGGCCCAAATGATGCCCGAAGACAGCTCAGAGCCCGAAGCATCACCCCAATCCCGACCACTGCAGGTTGTGTGCGAGGGCGATGAAGTATTTGGTCAGAGAGGCAATCCACCAGGAGGCTGCGCGGCCGCTTTGAGAAGCTTGAAGGCAGCCATAGATCCTGAAGGGATCTTTCCATCGCTTCGACACGGCCAATCGTATTGATTGCCGTGAACAAACGAAGAGACTTGAAGACTTCTAGGTCTATGTACAAAAGCTCAGGCCATGGCAGTGGTGAGTGAGGCTAAGTAGTCCTATCATACTCATGTACCAAGCACTCGCTTGGGCCGCACAGATCTTTCGCCACTTCCATGCTTTGCAATGACCGGTCCCTTCGATTGCGATTCGGAGCAGAAATCAGGAAGTGGGGCAACCTTGGCCGTGCCTCGAGCAGTCGCAGCGACCTCCTGATTCATGCTTGTTACATGTGAACGCTCACCCACAATCTGGATGACCCAATCACAGAACCGGTATAGGACAAGACTGAAAGCAATAGACTCAATAGACTTGACGTTTTGACAGCTCTCTGTTTTGGGGCTTTGTGATTGGGATCGTCATGCGACGAAGACATGGAGGAGAAGGCGAACGTGGCAGATGGAGAGGGTAGTCTTTGGACAGAGAAAAGGCAAGAAGGAGCATTCCTGCTCAATGGTGTGTTTCATGCATGCATGGACTGCGGGATGCTTGCTGACAGGCCGGTCGCTTGTTGGAAGTTGGCTGTGCCAATCCACTTCGCGAATGTTCTGGTCACTGGCAGGATGGAATGCCGTATGCGCATCTGGCATAGAATCTGGCCAAAGTGAAGCCAGGCTTTGCTTCCAGACGTCCAAGGGAAGTGCTGCTCTGCTCGTTGCCACCCGCCCCTCCCCCCACAGGTTTGTCGTCATTGCCGCCGACGGCTCCCTCCAACATGAGAGCGGCAGTGCCTCGGAAAGAGCAGACCCGGAGCGGAAGACATTGGCTAGGGAAGGGCAAAGACTTGAAGATGCCTCAAACGCCGAGGTCAGCCACTTTACAGCAGCTCCGAAGGACGGGTGGTTCGGATTTCCGTCATCCAGGTTTTGATGTGCTGCCGTGCAGGAGCAGCTAGAAGATGCATGATGATACATGTATCCGGAAGGCAACGATTTTGGACATGGGGTGCTGAAAGCTAGCATCCTCAGGCTCGGCAATGTCGGCGGCAATGGTGGACGTGAAAGTTGGGAATCGCAGCGTATTGTTTTCGCTCATTAAATCGAAGCCAGTTCGCTAGCATGTCAGTATATTTGTCACGGAGCAAGCAAGAGCAGCGTAAGGCAGTTTAAGGCAGACACAGGTGAGCAGCACCGCAAGCGCACAGAAGCTCAGCTCCCTTGGTGCCTCGGCCCGGACTAGAAACAGCATGCCCTTCGTTGCCATGTTCTGCACCAGCTCCGGTCATTGAGGTCAACTGCTCTTGCCAGCATCTTAACAGCAGAAGCAACCAGCGATGCATTGATTGATTTCCCGCACAGCTTCGACAGAAAGCCTAGGTTGGCGGCTGCCTTGGCCCTGGTCAAGTGCGCTGTGCGCTTGTCTTCCGACCGCTCATCGGAGACAAAGACTGCCGAAACTGATCGTTCATGATTGACTCAGTTACATGTGGCTGCCGAAACACCAAAGCACACATGCCGTCATGAGATCAGAACTCGATTTTGCGGCTCGAGCACTTGCACCTCGTGCGGCATGCTTGAGCCGGCGAGCGACGTGAAAGGTGAAGATGACTTGACTTCGGAAGGCCTTCACGGCATTTGATTTCATCGCTGTCGCCATCAGCCATCAGAAATTGGTTTCACAAGGCCAGGAGGCTTCCCTCCTGAAGAGGGTGGGCCTTTCGGCGCTGCGCTGAGCACTACGCCAGAGCCACTGCCACAGCTCATGTCAGCGGCGTCCTTTTTCAGGTCTTGCACAGCAACACCAGCTTCTGGCAACGAAGCCGAGAGGAGACAGCCAGCTCGGCATATCTCGGGGCTCTCTGCTGTGCACGCTGGTTGGAGGAGGCTTCAGAAGCAGAGCATTCTTTGGAGGCTGACAACAGGTACAGCCGGGAGCCGCTGCGTAGTTTCGTGCTTGCCGCAGGCACTACGACGGGAGGCCCAACTGCGCCAGGCGCGCTGCCAAAGCCAGCATGAGGCTGAGCCGATCATGCCGATCAAGTTCCCGTGCTCTTCACATTCGTTTGTGGCTCTCGCACTGTAGCATGAAGCATCTGGGGATGAAAAGAGCGAAGCCGACCGCCCAGGCTGGAGAGCTTGGCCCGTGACGCGAAGGAGGAGCAGGAGCGAGAAAGAGCAAGAGCTTCTCCGAATGGAACGAATCTTCTGTTCGACTGGAAATGTCTGGAAGTGGCCAAAAGTCCGTTGCGATGCTATGCGATGCTTGCACGCGCTCTCCGTTCAAACAAATGGTTTTTATTTTGGAGGAGCGGCGGTTGATCTCAGAGAAGGTCGGCCTAAACCTCAGCAGTTTGGGTTGGGTGCTCTTGGACATAAGGAACTGAGTCAGCGATGGTCGGGAACTTGAAGCTACATGAAGCTCTCCAGTACTTGCTGATTCTTTGGGTGTCCTTTCTGTCAGCTTTTGCATGGCCTTCTGTATAGACTATTTATAGCAGGTGCTTGGCTACTTTATCGTGTGCACTTGTCTCCTCTAGCTAGTGCCCTTGTCCACTTTATCTTGTGCACTTGGCTACTTTGATTTTGTGCACTTGGCTACTTTATCATCTTGTGCACTTGGCTTTTTGTGGCTTTCTTCACTTGGCCACAATATTTTCTGCACTTGTTGTGGCCGCAAGGCAAGTTCGATTCTTGGAAGCTTTAATTGAACCGGGTTTAGTGAAGGGCTCAGGCCGGATTTGGGCCTGGGTTACTTGGCAACTTCCGGCCCCTGAAAAAAGACAAGTAGCCAAGTGCTGCAAAAGAATGCGGCACTTGGCATCTTTAGGCCTCCTAGCACTTGGCTATTTTCAGGCCTGGAAAGTTTCCAGAAAATCCGGACCTCAGTCTTGCACCCCAACAAAGCGTCTCGTAGACAGAACCCCGAAAGCTTCTTGGGTCTGTTGCTGTGATCGTAGTCTCGAGCCTCTCAACCGTGCAAGCAGATAGCCAAGTAAGACGCCAAGTAAGATGCCAAGTAGGGGCCAACAAAAATGCCAAGTAAGTTGCCAAGCAGTCGTCAGGTCCGCGGCCGAGTTCTGATTCTTCTGATTCAGAAAACATGTTGGAGAATACTCCCAACTGATGCTGTATGTAAGCGTTTAGCAGTCTGGCAGACTACATATCATCACATTACTGAAGCGGGGGAATATCAAAGATCGGAAGATGCCTCGAAGCATCGTCGTAGCGCTCTGTCGATGTTCGCATCGTACGCTCGCGGCCAAAAGTCGGGACAAAGAGGACGCAGAGGACACGCAGAGGACACGCAGAGACATGCAGAGACACGCATAGACACGCCGAGACACACGCAGAGGCTCCTAACCGCCACAAAGTCCTCACGGTTAGTGAAACTTGGCTTGTCAGGTCAGGAGCTCGCGGCCATTCGTGAGGAGATGCGCCGCCGCTGAGCTGCAGGTAGAGAGAGGCCGAGCGACAGAGAAGGCAAACCTGGGGCTGCTCTGATGCTCCCCAGGTTTGTCTTCTGAAGGGTTTAGCGAGACAGTGAGACAGCAGGCGATCGCAGGCGCTTGGACCTGAACCCGAGGAAAGGAGGCCGCGGAGGAGGAGCGGCTCCGTCCCTTGGCCGATCTTTCTAAAGGGGCCCCCCTCTTTCCCCCTTTTTCCCCCCTCCATCGCCTCAGTGAGGTCACTTGTACCGCGGCATCCTCGGCCCGGCCTCGGAGTCCGGAGAATCGAAAGCCACGGTCACCCAGCGGCTTGGCACCGGAGGATCCGCTTTAGTCGGAGCTCTACAAAACCCAGTGCCTGAGGCAAAAAGGCCAATCCTCGCCGGCTTTTACACCCTTGATAGTATCGGAGACTCGACACGCATTGGTGCCCAGAAACCACAGGTCACAGCCAATCATGCTCATGCTATACCGACATGTGCCCACAGCATGTCACTTCGATTTGAAGCGCTTGACGTTGGATGAGGGCAATCCTGGGAATTTCGCTGGATCTCAATCTCAAGTATCAAACATTATCAATGCGGATTTGACGCCATGCTTCCGGGGATATTCCGTTCCTGGTCAGCAAAGGAGGCCTCGCTCCTCGACTCGGAACCGACGTGGGACGTCGGAGCTGTGCCGCTGAAAGGCCAAATCCAAACCTGCTTTAAGCGCTGGTTCGGTGTGTCAAAGGCAGTAAGTTTTTCTCGGGGTTTTGTGGAATTGTTGGGGAGCCGAGCATGCAGTCTCAGTGATCTGCCCACTTTGGAGGTGATCTGGATCTCCTCTCCGGGAAGGCATCCACCCGGCGTTTTAAACCTGGCCTTCGGATTGACGAGTCATCTATGCTTTTAGTGGTAGGACTTTTGGCCTTCCGCTCCGGTGGCTCCGGCTCCGGCAAGCACGGAGCTCAGAATTCACCGCCGATGCCCGAAGTTGAAACTTCGCAGCCTTGAGGCACGCGCGATCGGCACGGGGGCAAAGCCTCAGGTGCCTCGTCTAAGTGGCGGCTGGCAGGATCCTGCGATAAATCTTCTGGGCTTATATTGAGCCCGCACAGGGTCTCAGCGTCCAAGGTTAGCTGCATAACGGTTAGCTGCGAGGGCAAATGCGTGTCCACCAGGCCGAAGTAAAGACATGCGAGACGCAACCAAACTGCTACAAGTGTCTTGGAGATAATTTAAGCTGCAGCTGTTTTGCAATGCAAGGCACTTGCAGTCATTGGAGTCCGCTTTCCAGTCGTTGAGTGACATTGCAAAGGTCAACTTGGCACGGCTGGAACGCTTGGAACGCTGTGGCCTCTGAGTGCTCTGATGCCCCAGAGCCGTTTTAAATCGGACCTCCCCAAGTGGCACTAGTCAGTCTGCCTCTGCACGGGAAGGGGAATTTGGTTGGAGCGAGACGCCATCTGCAGCATTGCGCCGCACCAGGAGTGACAAACGTCACTGTGCGACCGTGTAGAGTGCTGAGCCAATTCCAAGAGGAAAGTTTTTGTCTGCAACCACCTCTGCACGGTACTCTGGTGTGAGAACGCGGAAGCGCAGCTGCTTTTTTTCAGCTACACTGGTAGTCTGACATGTTTCACTCAACGACAGTCCAACATCGTGCACTTACCGGACAAATGCTGGGCCTTCATGCTTATTCAGCATGTTAAGTTACCATGCCGAGAGGCCCCTCAGTAGCATGGAGTTGTTTGCTTGGGCCATTTGGCTCGGAAGCGTAGGAGGGAAACATGGAACCTTGGTGGAAGTGGGTTTCATGAGCTGTGCACAGCTCTCTCTGACCCTTTAGGGAAGAGTTTTGGCTGCACCTACGCCGAGCCTTCAGAGAGTATAGACCAGTGGAGACCACCGTCGCATCAAAGTTTCCGAGGAGAGAAGCCGAGGAGGCGGAGAAGATTGTGCTCGGCTTGCCACGAGCACGACGTGTGCAGAACCTTCAGCTGGGTGTCAGGTGCCAGCCGGCCACGGAGAAGGGGACGAAGTCAGATGCACCGTCGGCCAACAAGTTTGGCTCCCGTGCACCCATCCAGGATGTCCCTCAACTTCACACTCTGTGCCCAGGGCAAGTTCCATGAACAAGTACGATGTCTTGGGCGTCGTGGGCGAAGGGGCCTACGGCGTGGTGTTGAAGTGCAAGAACAAGGACTGGCTGGTTCGGAGTTCCGTTGGAGAAGCTTGGACATCTGTGGCAAGGGGCAAAGCAGGTGACTGGGACCCTGGCCAGCATCAGAATGCTTTCGTTGGTGTCCTAGGTCCTAGTAGCATCTAGTGGCAGTAGCAACCTGGATGCAGAAAAGCACCGTGAATGACAGCCACGACGAATCAATCACCGTTGGTTGCTGTGCTTGCCTGGGGGGATCGGAAGTGCTAGCAATTGCAGGACACCAACGAAGTGGTGGCCATCAAGAAGTCTGCACCACAGACTTCACCAGGGGCCGGTCAGAGTTCGGCGTGCGTCGAACCACCGCCTGCTTGATCTCAGGTTCAAGGAAAGTGAAGAGGACGAGGTAGTTAGAAAAACCACGTTGAGAGAGGCCTTTGCCGTGGTGCCGTTAAGCAGCATCGTGCATCACAACGCGATTGCGAACTCCAGGTTCTTCTCATAGGATCGTATTGTTGAAATCTTGCAAAAGGACGGCCGACCCCGTCCTCGGGTGTCGAGACGGTGAGAGTTTCTTTCGCTGTGTTCCTGCTCTGCAGGTGAAGATCCTTCGTATAATGCGGCACGAAAACATTGTGCAGCTGAAGGAGGCAAAGAGCACAAGGGCAGTGGAGTCGGAGACTTTCGAGCATCCGGCGCTGATTCGAGTAGAAGCAAGAACTACTTGGAAAGCTTGCAAATATTTGCGACATGCTACTGGAAGGAACCCGCATGTGTCGTGTAACTCCAATTTCACTTGCGGTGCAGCTTCGTTACTGCACTGCCTATGGATGCCGAGTGCTGTGAAGTAGAAGATGTGGCAGGCCTTTCGACGCAGGGGGAAGCTCTACCTCGTCTTCGAATTCGTGGAGAAAAGCATGCTCGACATTTTAGAGGCTGGTTTGATTTACATGAAGTATATATGTGCAGCTGCCGAATGACAAGATTTCTTTGGAGCACGGATTCGTGTGTGTCTGCGTGAGATTCTAAGCTAAAGGTTCGTGGTACTGCCCATTGGCTTCAGCAGGGGGGCGTTCCAACTGTTACCATTGAATGGGCAAGGAAGAGCCTGGTACCATGGTGCTGAAAACCTACCTGCTCTTGAGTGGGAGAGTGTACTGTACCAATGTATTCGTACGTCAATGAGATACTTCCACATTCTCTGCGTGTGATGTGTGAGTGCGCGCATAGATGAGTATGTGTATGCAACAGAAAAATTGACAGACTACATCTTAAAATCGCAACCTGTAGATACAGGTGGAACGGTGGAATGAACAACCTTTACGCACCTACAGACCTACATGTTTATAAACCCGCCCAGCACAAACTGATTTGACACATGTGTATGATTATGTCTGTCTGTCTGCCTGTCTGCCTGCCTGCCTGCCTGTCTGTCTGTCTGTCTATCTGTCCGTTTGTTTGCTTTTGTTGGAACATGTTCGTGTGTTTGTTGTTTGGTTGTTTGGTTGGTTTGTTGGGTATGGTTAGTTATGATTGGTACTGGTTGGTTCTGGTTGGTTATGGTTGGCTATGGTTGGTTATGTTTGGTTGGTTGCTTGGTTATGGTTATGGTTACGGCTTTGGTTATGTGGGTTGGGCTGGGTTGGGTTGGGTTTGGTTGGTTTGTTGGTTGGTTCATGTTTGGTCAGCCGGTCGCCTGTTTGGTTGTTTGCTTGCTTTCTTGCTTTTTTGTTGTTTGTCGGTTCGTTTGTCAGCTGTTTGTGTGTTTGTCTGTCCATATTATATCAAAATCGTTGTGTGTTTGCGCATGCAAAAATAAACCTACACCTGTCACACGTGATTGCGTAACGGTGTGTGCACATGCTTCCACGCGCGCCCGCGTGCGCGGGTGTGTGTGTGTGTGCGTAAATCCTGTGCCGAAGGACGTAAGTAGTTTCGATGAAAAAGCTGGGACAGCAGGGGGGTACGGCTCTCTGATGCTGCGAAGCTGTGCATCAGAGAGGGATGCCGAGCCTGATCAGCTTGGTGTACTTGCTTTCGGATTAGCCAGTGGGCCCCCTGTGGCACAGGGCTAACCAGAAAGTATTGAAGTAATAACTAGCACAAACAGCATCCATCTAAGTAAGGATGACTAGTCTGCACATGTGTTCCCGACAGCAACTCTGCCAAAGCGCTGTCGGACTCCCGGTCAGCAGGGGGAACAGGGGGAACTTGGAGCATTTTGGGTACACCTTGACTACATCTGTTCTTTTCTGGTGCATGAGCCTCTAGTCCCTGCAGATCCCGCAAGAATGAGGGACCGATTAACATGTTCCCCACCGGAAGAACCAATGCCCTGGATCAAGCTCATGTGAGCATCCTTGACAACATATCCAAAAGAAAGACCAATATTACTTCCTTGGCTGAACAGCTCCTTGAAAGACCCCAGGCTTCGGAGCTCAGAAGTAGTCTCATCATCATTCAATGAGTTAGCATTCTTGTACCACAACTGCTGCTTTGTATCCTGAGCCATGGGAAATGATCATTTTCATGTCCAGCATCGCCCACAGCGAGAAGAAGGGTATCAAGATGTTACGAGAACACCATCTTTGGTGTCACTTCCAACATCTCCGTATGATTCTGCTTCAGTTTCTTCATATGAACCAGGCCGTTTACAGCGAACAGTACGGCCTTATCAAGCCCCTCATATTGCTCGTTTGTCGCAGCCTGCCAGACATAGACAACGTCGTCGGAGATCTAGCAGCACCACTTCTTGTTACAGCAGAAGTCGAAGCCGAAGACGTGCCCGTACAAGAAGAAATCGGCGTTCCCAATGCCAGACCCCGCAGATCTAGACGACCACAAGCAGCTTATATGGCTGATGGTGCCACACATACCATTTTCTCCGACAGCGTATCCGACCAATCCTCAATATCCTGTTGTACCAGTGAATACAGTGGTTCCAGGAGCCAGTACACCGTCTCACCCACAACCACGAGTTAGCTTCACCTTGTTACACATCTTTGGCAACACCTGCACCATCTGTTCCAAACACTCTTCACCTCCACCTCCACTACCACCACCACCTCCACCTTTTCCACTTGTCCCACCAATCAATACAGCTGTCACTTGACCTGCACATCCGAGCCAGCCGCCCAAGCTTTCGAAGCCACCGCCACCACCTGCACCACCGGTGCCAGCTGTTCCACCATGACACACTACACCTCCACCTACAACACTGTCATCGGTATTTGTGCCTGTCTCGGCCAATGGAACGCTTTCAGCAACTGCGCTTGCTCACACTTTGGCAATGTCGAATGCTGGTCCGTTTTCAGCCTGTCATCCGCAGGGAGTAGCAGCTGCCATGGCCATTTGTCAAGCAAGACTTACAGAAGAGATTCGTAATGAGTCTGTGAGACAAGATTCCCGTGACAGTGAGTTTGCAGAGTAAGCTTGGATGAACACTCCACGTGACGAGTTCACTCGATGTATTAAGTTCTTTTTGCATCTTGTACGACGTCCAGCTCCTTTGCAGTGACGCTTCCGTATGAGAAGATCTTTCACAAACCTGTGAAAGTTTGGTTCCACAATAATGTTATCATGTGGCAGATTGACACTGACAAGTTTCCAGGCCCCTCGCTGTCTGCGCTAGGAACAGGCCAAGCCATTTTTCGCTGGTGGCAGGGATGCAGTGAAGCCTTTTTGTTGGGGGTATTCAGTATTCAAGAGCGGCAGAATTTTTCACAGACAAGTGATGGGCTATTCGCAAGCCCAGTGCAAAGGTCTCGAGATTCTATTTGGTCTCCTGTGCGTGAACCCGATGATGAACGTTGGGGTGCAGAATGGTTTGAATTGCTCGCATTAGAACCTGCATCCAAACTTGAGCTCGGCAATGAAGCTCTTGACCCTGCACAATAATTCTTGAGCCGCAAAAACTGGTCATTGCAGTGCTTAAAGTATAGGTATCCAAGCATCAAACATGTCGAACTTGCTCGCTTGTCGTATGAATACCCCATAAACATTGTGCTCTTTCTCATTAAAGGTCTTTCGGCTTGATTGCAGCGTGGAAGTATAGCGAAGCTACTTCTTATCTTTGCAGAACATAGAGTGTTTCCATGTCTTTCAAGTCCCAACTCATCTATGAAGGTTCACAAGGCTCAAGCCCTTTACTGATGTGCTAAAGCCACTCGCGTCCAGCATGTCGTTATCGTGCTCTTCCATGTTTGTTCAACAAAAAAGCGAGTTCTTGCCTGCGCAGCTTGAAGATGAGAAGACTGTAAACGACCAAGATACAGAAGGTTCACAACCGCAAAACGACGACGATTTTCAGAACAACAAATAAGCACCTTTATCTTCTGTTGTGCAAGAGGACGTTATGGATCGTGCCATTGACCCAGAATGCCTCGGAGGTCGGAGTCCTAATTAATCAGACCATCGGACACACAAAAGACAACATCAAGGCCTGGATCCAACATCTGAAACAAAGGATCGGCGACCGGGAATTGATGCACGCCATTGCTAGAGCTCCGGAGATTCGCAGGGCCCTGCCGACAGATCGTATTGAGCTACTACAGCTACTACGTCATAAGTTGTCTCACCTTGGATGCAGTACTGCTTTGGTGACCAAGATCAATGGCCCAGAGCTCATTACAGTGTTGTTAGCTGCTACGGCGATGTTTCACTAGGGTCAGATGAAGACGTTATTTGCCGACAGTTCTCGAACCCTGTTACGGGGTCTGAAGATCATCTTGCATTTTGCTAATGATGTTAGCGAATACATTGCATTGTGTGTACCTACGAGAATTTTTGCAGCCTTCATTCTGGTACACGCAATTCTTCACAGCGGTTGCCGTGCATTACATATGCGGTCTTGGAAGCGTAGATTACTTCATCTACAAGGTCTGACTCTTCTACAGTTTTCTGCTCTTTTTGATTCCAGCAATACAGTTTACGTCTTGTTGATGCAGCCCGTCAATAAGTGCGATTGGGATCCACAGTCAGGAGGAGTATTGCAGCGCCGAAGATTCCACGTTGGATCAACATCCGTTTCTGTTCATTCTCGACAAGATGCTCGTTTACGTAAAGATCGTCTTTGCAACGCGGTGACTTTTGCAATGCTGAGCTCGTGTTGCATTACTTTCACACTCGCAGCGATCTTTTCGAAGCCGTTATTGTACCACTTCGCACCTTTGACAATCTTCATGATGCTCGAACCACTGAACTTTCCTACATTCATTCATGGCAGCCACAGCTGAATGCTCCTTGGGTCGTCAAGCTTAATCCTACATCAACAACTCGTTTCACCCAACCTCATACAGTGAAATCAATTCATGGCAGTCGTGGGAAGCGACTTTATGAGAATACCGTGCTGGAGCCTTTCGACAATTGGCTCCTGCTAATGAACATTGCCAATGGAAGCATGCAAGCTTGCCAGACAGAGAAGAGACTCAGGAGTGCAGAATTTCACAATCATCAAATCCATGCTTTATTCCGCCTTTGCAATCCGCTAGATGATGCCCTTCAAATTGCTGTTCGATCTGTACTTCGCCGTATTCCTACATGTCGTCAATGTGCAATTCCTCAAGGCCTCAAACCATTGGTATTGCCCTTATTAGCACATGATTCGTTTCAGAAATCAGTTGAGCAATGGATCAGTGGAATCATCATTGTCCACATAAGAAGTGCGTTGCAGGCAAACCTCTTTCACTTCGAGATGTTATTTACAACAATGTTGCTATGGCTGAGTCATGGTCTTGAGATTCCCCAAAAGTATGTAATTGTGAAGCTCTTCGTCAACAACATCCTCACGCGAACTTTGTGGATGGACATTTGGCTTCACCCATGTCAGCTATGAACGTCTTCAACGTCTTTTGCAGTATTCTATGGATTCTCAGCTGTTCCCATTCTTTATCATTACATTAACTCAACCTGGCCAGTTGTTGGTCGATGGCTTCGTCATCACAATGTGTTTACTGTCACTTCAAGTGACTGGCATAACTTCGTACAACAAGAATGGCCTCAGCACAAAGCTGTATCTTTTCATCCTTTGAAATATAAACATGCAGTCTTTATCAAGAACTCCTTGGCGGGGATATTTATTCATGGACGAGATCATGCAATTACACTTGGTCATGCGTTCTGCCAACACTTCGTCTCGCAAGCATACAAAACTTCGGAGACACAGATGTATACCAGCAATTGCCCATGCAGCCTTCTCAGGCGGGAGTCTTTCTGCGTCACAAAACCGCCCGACCTTTTCTAATCACGTCGATATGGGGAATCAATCTTCGTACATCTAGTTTACCGATTGCATATTTGCTTTTTATGCCGGAGAAGGACTTCAAAGGTGCCACGCCCATCATTTCGTCATTCATGTTGAGTATGCCAAGTTGTTGTGTGCCACAGCCATTGCATTGGGCCTCATTCTTCGAACTACGTGTCCCAGATCTTCAAGCCTTGACACCCTGCAGAGCATGCTGCGGCGGCTTACATTGTTTCCACAACAGTTTCCTGATGATGCTAACGCTGTTGTGTACAACCAAGGTCTCGGAGGACCCTTTATATCTATTCCTGTTTTTCGTATTTCAAATGCTTTCCGAGAAGCTGTCAACGAACTCTGCATTTTTTAAGAATGTGGCGAGAACAACAGTTTCGTTTTCTGTTGATCGCTCAATGTCAGTCTGCCGGTAATGCGCTTGCGCAATAGCAGGCAATGTAGAATGCCGACTTCACGGCCATGCAGGTCTACATGTCTTTGAATCCGTGCCTGGTTGAAACGCAGACTGTTAGACATCCATGCGCCTGTCTGTTTCACGTATCACTTGCATGTATCTAAGCCTGCTGCTCAAGGTTCTAGCAGAGTGCTGATGTGCAGTTGTGTGCCTGTAGCAAAAAGAGACACCTGTGTTTGCCTGTGTTCCTGTACGCCTCGCGCGGGGATACATGCCCAGGTTATTGTCTCACCCCTCCCCTCCGCTCCCCTCACTCCCCTCCCCTCCCCTGTCTCTCTTTTCTCCGTCTGCTTGTCTGTGGGTAACAGCCGGCCAATCAGTCAGTCAGTCATGGGCTTGCGTGCTGGAGTGTCTGCTTGTTGGTTTGCTTGTGTGCACGATGTATGTGCCTATGCAAGGTCGAGCATGTTGCTGTGCATTTGTGTATGCATGGATGGACCGGTGAGGGGAGAATAGCTTGATGGCTGAAGTTGGATGGATGGATACAGGCATACCTTCATGTGTACATGCCTACTTGAATGTACACACACACACACACTCTGGTACTTTATGCAAGTACAAGTTTTCTGCTGCATCCGCCAGCCCTTGTGCAAGAGGCTAATCCAAATGGCGTGGACACCGAAACTGTTCGTGCATCTCGGGAGAATCAAGTTTGCATTGTTTCATGCAAGATTGAGTTGGTAGCCGTGAGCACGATGCCAAGTAAGCTTTCGCCAATTTCAAGGTCCTCACTTGTCAATTGGTCGGGAGCCACAGGATGCGCACGTCTTCATTGCTTCACTTTGGCCGTTTGGGCTTTAGCTGGTGCAGAGATGGCTGAGGCTCGTGCCATTGAGTACTGTCATCGGCATGATGTGGGAGTCTCAGTGTGAGGGTCCCCTCAGTTCCCGCCGGAGTTCTGCACTGGATTCGGTGTCAGGTCATTCACCGTGACATCAAGCCAGAAAACTTGTTGAGTCGCAGACTCAGTTGGACCGCAAAGTGAACAGGTAAGGTTGTCGGGGCCATGGGCCTTGTGCTTCGCTAGAATCATTTCCCGTCCATGTGTGCGATGCACATTCCCTACAATCCACCCCAGGGAGGTAGACATAAAGCTCGCAGTGAGCCATCGGAGGTGTTGCTTCTGTGACGTAGGAGGTTTGTTTTCCCTTCCCCAAAGCAGCGTTGGAATTTCCAGACTCTGGATCCGAAAGCAGCTCTGCACCATGCCACCCGTGATGTCTTGAGAGACGAAGGCTTGAAACATGTCAAATCTTCAACCGTTGTCTCACCCAAGCCGCCGCCCAGTCAACCCTGCGGATAATGCACTGCGGCTTTGCGATTTCGGGTTTGCCCGGACAATGAGCCCTCATCTCAGACATTGCCTGATTGCTTTCAACGAATGTGGAGTTCTTGTGCGAGACTGGTTACTGTGTGCCAGCGCGGATCTAGGCGCGGATACTCCACTCACAGCCAGCCGCTCAGAGTGCTAGCCCTTCTGCTTCTTCTTGCAGATCTGTGCCGTGCTCTTCTGTATTGCATTGCACAGCAAGCTTGTCAGTTTAGATTTGCAGAGCCCGCATGCCTGTTTCCCAAAAGATCGCTTCAGGATTACGTTGCAACTCGGTGGTACCGCGCACCAGAGCTCCTTCTAGGTTTCACACATTATGGAAAGGACCCGCATCGATGCATCATCGGGGCGTTCCCTTCGACTTTTGTCACAAGCCTTCATTTTCCTGAGCTCAGCACGGTCGAGGGCCAGCTACAAGTAGTCTCTTCACGGTCGTGGCAGCAAAGCTCTTCCCGTCTCTCGTCTTGCAAGTGGCCAACCTGGAAGGATGTAGATATTTGGGCCGTTGGCTGCATCATGGGCGGCTGCCTGAGAATTCAGCAGCATCCTGTTGGGAAGGCAGAGGTCTGATGTGGTAAACCCAAGGTGAACTCACTGATGGCCAACCGCTTTTCGCCGGTGAGTCGGAGGCAATTCTTGGACAGTTAGCAAGTCCACCCTGATCTACGGAATGGCATGCATGCACACATGCACGCGTGCACGCATGCATGCATGCATGCAAGCCAGCATGCATCCATACCTCCATACAGGCATGCCTTCCTGCATGCATATTTTGGCACGTGGAACAACCAACACTTTGCAAGGACATGCCATGAAACCTCATCCATGATCTCTGTACGTGCGGTCTTGCTTGTTGCCGTTTGAGACAATGTGATCGGTTGTTTGTTGTTCATAGCGATGTGCAGCTGGATAGAGCACACTACATATAAATAAATAAATAAATAAATATATATATATAAATATATATATATACACAATATGCATATACATGCACAGACAGATAGCTATGCAACAAGCATAGATAGACACGCCTATCTGTCTATCTATCTACCTACCTACCTATCTGTCTATCTATCTATTCTGACCAAATTTAATCTAATCTCACAATGTCTGACCTTCTCTACTCCAATCTGATCTCATCTCGTCCTTCCTGTCCTACTCTATCCGTTCCTATCCCATCCTATCCTATGCTATCCCATCTTATATCATCTCTATTTACTTGCCTTACCTATTTACCCATCTACCGATCTACCAATCTGTCCATCTATCTATCTATCTATCTATCTGTCTGTAGAGTGGAATGCAGAGCAAAGCATGCAAATGTCGTCCATGATACGTTATACATGTCCGCAATCGTCAGTCATTCATCCTTGTTCATCTGACAGGTCGACCAGCTCTTTGTTATTCAAAAAGCTCGCAGCCAAGAGTGCAGAGAGCGACAACGCTGCTGATTCGACAGAGCGCGTACTGTACAAAGTCCGGACGTAGTAGTAGTACAATATTGCAGTAGTATAGCCGCCCTGAATGCAGCAATAAGAATGTAAGAGTGAAAGGACAGCTCGGGTTCAAGTACATGACAAGCAAGTCATGTACATAAGCTTTCGGTATCTGCTTGGCTGATTACAACTAACACAAGAAACAGAAACATAAGTGACGTCGTAAACTCGTATACCACTGATAGAATGAGAACACTGTCAGCATAGTTTAAAGATGCAGTCATAGCAATACTTTGGTGCTGTTGACAGCTCCGTAGTCTAGTCGTAGACAGATATGGTCATGCAGGCATAAAACACAGGCTATTTACGAGTACAGCGTGCCATCAGCATTGGCATAGCCATGCATTGGCGATCGAGTACCGGAATCGTATGCTTTCATGAGCAGGTGCAGTGTCGACGTGTTGGGGTCCCCGCTTAGGTGCTGGGCCCACTGACCCCAGAACACATGGAGATGTTCCTCAGAAATCCGCGTTTCCTGGGCATTCAGGCAGGATCGCCAGAGAGTTTTCGATTCGCCTTAGGATTAGGAATGCCTGCAAACCTGGGAAGGATTGTTCAAACCTATTTGCCTTCTGATTTGGAGAACCTCTCTCGTATCCCCCTGGCAGTTCCCGGACGTGAGCCGTCCAGAGACGCTGGAGAAGCGTTACTTGAGACGGATGCCGAAGCTGCAGATGCAGCTGCTGAAGGCCTGACGGATGCCCCGTTTAGACACGCGCGGCAGCCTGGTCCTTCTTTGCCCTCGGAGGGCATCCTGGTGATGGAGCCCCGGCGGCGCCTCAGCGCTCGGGAGATGCTTCGGATGCCTTGGTTTGAGGCTGTGGATGGCTGTGGAGTATTGCATGCATTGCATATGCATTGATATACATGGCATGTCAGACTCTAGACTCTGTCAGACAATCCGGCTGTGCTGCAGGGCATCAAGCTTCCAAGATCACTGCGACCTCCTTCACAGACGCAGTCGCGTGGCATGAGGCGCGGGACAACGTGTTTGCCGGATATTCGAGAGACAGACTGGAAAATATGCGCTGCATCATTGCAGTGATCAGCAGACATGAGGCCGGAATCCAGCGGCTCCGCCAGGAGCTTAGGTCTTTGGCAACTCCCATGCACGATAGTCAATATTCTCAAATCGGCTTACCCTGAGCCCCGGAAAATCTTGAGCGGCCGTACACAATCCTGTCAGCCCGAGTCCCAGCCAGCAAAGCCAAGCGAAGCTAGCATTGAAGACAGAAACCTTATGGAATCAGAAACCCAAGGTCGTGTTGAAGCCCGTCGAGACGATACTATCAATTTGGCATCCGACTACTGAACCTAGTATCAAAGTGGTTAGAGCCCCGCCACATCCACTGTTGAGAACCAGTTCAAATCCTAATGGCACCCACGATTTGCTGTGCAAGAGTCTTCCCGAAAGCAATGCAATTGACACCAAAAACGGAATTACATGCCAATCTGAAAAACGCTGTTTCACGTTCGGACGACTTCCGAAGGGCGCATGTGCAGTCACTCTTGTCGGTTGCTCCTTGGGGTCTTTGGGGCTATGACTAGTTAAGTTTTTCGTTTTCTTGTTCTTTCTCCGGTTTTCATTTGTCAGTTGTTGTCTCGTGCCGAGGTGAAGGGTCGCTCCTTTGCAGGTTGACTGTTTGCTGCCTTCTGAGTAGCATTCGATATTCCCCGCTCGCAGAGAAGGCTTGCGACTCCCAATCCAACGCCAACCCGAGTACTGGAGCCTTTCAACGAGTCCTTAACATGTAAATTGCAGAAGGTAGACAGACCTCTAGGATGCGTTTGTCACTCTTCGGATGGTGCCCAGGTGCCGGCAGTGACGCCAGCGCAAGCTGAGCGGTCGTTGCCTGAACGGACACCGGCGGCAGAGCGGACGCTGGCCGAACGGATGCCAGCCGAGCGGATCCCAGCTGAGCGGATGCCAGCTGAGCGGATGCCAGCTGAGCGCACGCCGGCCGAGCGCATGCCGGGAGAGCGCTTGCCCGCCGAGCGGATGCCCGCCGAGCGGATGCCCGCCGAGCGCATGCAAGCCGAGCGGATGCCTGGTGAGCGCTCAACACAGGCAGCAGCGCGGCCGGCACAGGCATGCGGATGTGTGTTGCTTTGGATTGCTCGCTTGCTTGGCTTGGCTCGGTGGGCTGCCAAGGTGGCTGGGCTTCATGTCGCGAGCTGTTTAGTTTAATGAGAGGTGCCACCGGCAACGGGCCCGCGGGCTTTCGAGACCGTCCCAATGATGCAGCCTCCGCCCCAAGAGGCGGGATTGTTGTGGCTGCGATCGCTTGCAGGCACAGTTCTAAAGGCACCCACTGCAAGCAAGGCATCGGCGACTCCATCTTGGCATTACGAGCAGCAGATGCGTCTGGAGCAACTGCTTTCCCAGCTCATGCCGGCTTCTGAAACGTATAGTACTTGTGCATTGCAGCGATTGTGTTTTCGGTGTCTAGAGGCTTTGGAGGGTCGGAGCTTGAAGCCCCAAGGCAGCAAGGGGAAGGTGGTGGAGCTGGCGCTGGAAATTCTAGCTTTCCACCTGGGCCGTGAGCTCAAGCACTGGCGACACAATGCATCGATTTGGACAGCGGTGTCACAGCCTGTTCTGCTTGTCATGGGTGACAATGCCGAGGCGGCACCCGCACCAA